AATTAGCAAATAGAAGCTGAAGATATAAGTTTATGTACCTCGGTCTACAACGGATTTACAACAGAAATTTAATATAAAATAAATATAATCTAAAATAATTTAATTGTGTTTGTATTCTAGTCTCTGATTGGTTAATATCCAAAAAGGAACACAAATTATTTCTGTATAACCTGGTTTGGTATGGGGACACACCCCCCTGACAACCAGCTGAATCATCTGTATCCATACAATCCTCTCATTTCCAGTCCTCGGGATTCATGGAAAATTCCATATTTAATAAATGTACCAAACAATAATTCGATCTTACCACATGTAAACAAACAACAAGGCTGCTAGGTCTATGTATCAGTTTTTACCTCCCCTCGCTTCCCATCACTTCCGGTATTTCCGTTACTACGGTTGTATTATCGAGCGGCAAATTTGAACTAATAAAAAGCAACGAAATTTTACACCCATAGTTATTTAATGATTTTAAAATTAAATTATAAGGAATGACTCTAATTCTTGGCCAAATTATTCGAGTATAACCTGGTTTGGGTTAGTTTACGCTGTTTTATAATCCGCTTCGCGGATTATAAAGCGTAAACTGACCCAAACCAGGTTATACTCGAATAATTTGGCCAAGAATTAGAGTCATTCCTTAAATAATCAGTCAAGGTAGAAAAGCAATGTTTTGTCTCAGATCTAAGGTTAGCAAAACTTTAAATATTGAAATTATGGCCTCATTATTTGACACATATGTCAGAAGCATATGAGTTAGGGTGTGAAGTTTGGGAAAACCACAATGCATGTGATGTTGAAAAGATACATTTAAAATTCCAACACACATGTGATAAGTACTTGTTCATGACCTGGCATTAATCTCAGATCACCCGGCATGATTGAAGGGGTATTGTCGAAAATTATACGGTCTCTTATCTAGTTGAAAGGATTTAATGGTTTCAGGTCAGTATGGAAGAAATACAATAAAAGAACACAGAAAGATGAATTAAAATTTGACGAAAAGACTCAAAATTAAATAATATTATTGTAAAAGTCTTGGGCATGATATATCCCATGCAATGTTATTAAAGAAAATGATTACAGAACTGATATGGTTCTTCTTTTTTCCTTATTTTTTTCTTTTTGTTAATCTCCTACTAGTAGTAAAAGGAATATACCCAAAATTTAAAAGTAAAGATATAATTGCCGGGTTAAAAATGATTTTTTTTTTCAGGAAAAAAGATTTAATTTTTAACAGGTACATCTACAGTACCGACCGGACACAACCTAACACCAGAGCGAACCCAAAGCGCACCCCGGGTTCGCTTCCTGGGTTCGCTCGGGGTCCGCTGCGAATCCGCTTTCAGAAAATTTCGGAGCGCTCTGGGTGCGCTTCGGGTTCGCTCTGCGTTCGCTCGGGGTCAGCTCTGGGTCCGCTAGAGCGAACCCAGCGTTCGCTTTCCGGGTTCGCTTTACGCACTCATGCGTGAAGCGGACCCCGCTTTAATCTTGCCGCCAGTAAGCCCCGCCCCTTGTATATTCCAAATTTAGTAGTGAAATCGATCATTACTGTTTTTATGGCGATCGAAACATGTAAATGTAAGTGACAATATGGAGAACGTTGATAATTTTTTAAGAATTACACCGTACATTCGACGTAGAATTAACACTTTTATTTTTCTTAACTTACAAGCTAAGTATATTTCGAAAGAAAAAAAAAGAAAATGGTGTTAAATTTATTTTCGATGTATCGGATGGAGTGAAATTGATAAGAGTATCTTAATAAAAAAAAGCTTTCAAATTCATTTGTTTACATTATTCATGCGTTTTAAAATAAGTTGGAACTTCCAATTGTAATTTCAATTGCTAAATCGTAATTTAAATGTTTGAAAGACAAACAACTGAATTATGATCTTATCTACGAAATAGCTGAGACATACTGTACATGTAAAATGCTAAGTTTCCATATTTGGCAGTTTACATTTAAGCTAGGTTGTCGTTCATTATAGATGTATATGTAGGTCGTGATAATCACTAAAAATTCTCATACAGTGTAACTTGAGTTTCGTTTTACAGATCATTAATTTTATAATTTACTTCCATGCTATAAATCATTGTTTTAAAAGGCGAGTTTAACGGAAGACTTATAAAAAAAAAAAGCAACAACAATCAAAAAACCAAACAAAACAAACAAACCGAAACTAATAACTGGTCCAGTGATAAGAATATATTATTTTTTTAAGTTGTTTTCAAACTACATGTAAATGATCATTTGAATAGTTTGTGTTCCTTACTGATTCATGCCCCCCCCCCCCCCCACTACATACATGTTCATACTGGAGCGACATGTTTACAAACAAAATTCTAAATGTTTAAAAATGAATAAAACAAAAAAGAAAACAAACAAAACATGCATTCAATAACTGCAAACCTGCATGAATAAGTAAAAGAAATTTAGATAATAACGCCCGATGTTTTTTTTTTTTTTTTTGGTTTTGTTTTATTTCCATGAGCCCCCCACCCCTCTCCGTACTCGAATTGTTTTCTATGGGCCAGTTGTAGCTATTTTAATTTCAAATAATATACAGTGTTCTCTCTCTCTCTCTCTCTCTCTCTCTCTCTCTCTCTCTCGTAAAGCTATTTTACATGTACTGATTTTCAGCATTCAGGTGGCAACAAATTACATGAATATGTACTCTTCATGCAACGTACCAAAGAACTATGACGTTTCTAAATTCAAAAATTAAAAAAAAAAGAATAATTATTGAATTTCTCATTGATAACGTGTCCAGACGAGGTACATGTAACTTAAAGAGCATCGAATGTAGGGGGAGTATATACTCAGGTATACCGTGACCATGGAGACAGTATACATCCAGCTAGCAAGAGTCAATTAAAAAAACCCACCGCAATTGCTCTTAACACCCGCAATATCTTCGAAACAGGTGGATGATAACCGACACGTGATGACCTTAGCTTTACTTTGAAACTATACTTATTAAAGTGTTAAAATTAAATAATTATGACAATTACAAAGTTCAAAAAGAGGTACCTATGTAATGAAAAAATATATGTACGTTTTCGTATTAAGGTAAGTTCAACTTACTAAAGTTGGAATTACGTGTACTTTTCATGAACAGGTATAAAACGTACCCGTCTAGTAATATCCATATAAAGTATTTCGAAAATTACATGTAGCACAGGTAAGAGGTTCGTGAACATGTAAACCTGTATATGCATGTATATATCGACGCGATAAGCATTTCTGCGTTTTTTGTTTTTGTTTTTTTTTTTTGGTTTGTTTGTTTGTTTGTTTGTTTGTTTGTTTTTTTTTTTTTTTGACTGACTTGCAAGTAGTTACAAAAATTCAAAAACATACAATGTAAGGTCTACATGTAGGATCATTAGAATTGACAAAATAATCTTTCCCTATATACATGTACTTAAATCAAGCTATTTATTAAATTCTGGTAAAAGACTAATTAAAAAAAATATCACAGTATTTACAAAAATTAGATTTTTTTTCTCCAATTTACGTATTGACATAATGCACATTTATACTGTACAATGTATATTTAATTTTTTTCACGATCAATTATTAAGATCGATAATTTCGATGTTGATCTGGATAAATTAAAACGTGCATGTAAATTGAAATAATAAATAAAAATAAATAAATTAAAGCACGTACATGTTTTTAAACTGTATCTTGAGATAATAAAATACTATAATTTATCGAAGACCTGTGTTTTTTAATTCTTTTTTTTTTTTTTTAGTAACAATTGTTATGACCATTATTATCTTCTTTTTTTTTCTATTATGAATTAAGGTACTTATTGTCTGATAAATTTACGCAATGTATATTTATATATTAATGGATTTTAAAAATATAAAGAAAATAAATATGTAAATATACATGTAACATGATAATACCTGGATAATATAAATATATAATGTATTAATAGATTTTAAAAATAAAAAAAAATAATGCAAATAGATGTGTAAATATTGCATGTTGTCTGGAGAATTAAAATATATAAATATAAAATCATGTTTAAAAACCATATTAATAATATTTTTACACTGTACATTCACACGCTTTGCTTGTACAATGTGTAGATAACAAACTGGCATGTTGACTTGTCGATGCGCTGATGGTCAACGCATTTTATCCCTTATCCTGATTGACAGACCTGTTCGGCATGTTGATTGGTCGACGCGCTGATGAGTTAATCGCTAATCCTGATTGACAGCTCTGTTACGCAACACCGAACGCGCGTTCGCTTTCTGGGACCGCTACTGAATTTGGGGTTCGCTTTCGGCATTCGCTCTGGGTCCGCTCTGGGTTCGCTGCGGGTTCGCTACGGGTGCGCTCCGGGTTCGCTCGATCGGGGTCAGCACTAGCGGACCCCAAGCGAACCCGAAGCGACCCCAGAGAGCGAACCCGGGGTGCGCTCTGGGTTCGCTTTCTGTTAGGTTGTGTCTGGTCAGTACTGTAGATATCATGAATTAAACGAGCAAGTTGATTAACGAAAATTCTATTAATAATTATCACGGAGGTAGAGATAGCGCTGACGGGAAAAAAGTCTATCAGAAAAATTAACTAGGTAAAAATAGAGACTGTCCCTGGATAACATTTAGTCTATATAATCATTAAAACAAATAATTATCACAAAACACAAATTGCACGAACTTTGTTAGTGTTACTTACATTTTGATATGCTAATAAATTCGATTATTACAGCACAAGAGAGTATTTGGCTTTGATTTTGGCGAAGTAAATTTTGACACAGACCCAGAGTAAACAGTAGTCAGCCTCAGCAATTTTAATGAAATAATGTTTTGAAATGATAAAATATGTATTAATATATTTAATTCATTCTAGGAAACCATTGGCTGAATGAAATCGTCCCTCGTCTTTTGCAAGGAACAGTTGAGTCTTCCCACAGGTTGATATACACTTTTTTGGCGTTCGTGCCCGATCTGCAGGTTCTAGAATCGGTGCCCTCTCCTAGGACTATGTACCCACTGACTGGTCTGTGTTTTTGGATGAGTTCTTTCGTGGAGGTATAAGTATCACACTATATTGAAATACAGCCTTCCCTCATAAAAAAAGAACAACTTAAGGAAAACATACAAGAAGAGTGTGGGAAATTCGTAAGAAATTATCAATATATGAAACCTTTAGAGACATGAAGGTACTGCACAGCATTCTACGATAAAAGGTCCGCTTTGGGGTATATCACACGAAAAAATAGCCTATTCAACAGTATAATAATCTAAAGGACATAGGAGTGGTCTTCAAAATTATTATCCAAAATCTGGTATAGTAAATATATTACAACAATTCGATATATCCGCGGTCATCAGGCAATGTTATGGAATTAAATGCTTAAACAGTATTCATTTTTTTTTTTAATAAACCTGAATCGTAAATATATTACAACAATTCGATATACCCGGGATCATAAAGTAATGGTACGGAATTCGATGCTTAAACAGTAATCATTTTTAAATAAACCTGAAATTAACCTATTATTTGAGTATAGCAGACACAAAGCATCAGTGGGGTCGGAGGCTGTCCTCTTTTTTTCCAAACATAACTTTTTACTATTGAAAATGTTCATTGAAAGGCCGGTCCCCCCCCCCCCCGGCCCACTTTTTGTTGCACTATAGTCAAATAAAGATAACGTAGTAGAGTACGAATAAAATTTGGAACTGAAAGAAGTTGGAACCTCCAACCCCCCCCCCCCCGCCATCCCCCCAACCCACCCACCCCCGACCTCCACACCCCACGAAAAAGGATTCTCTAGTTTCTACAAATGTCCTTTGTTTCTTTTTGCTTGTCAAGATTTCTTTTAACGTAAATTGATAAAAAAAATTATCTGGCTGCCCCCCCCCCCTGCTTACTTTCAAAAACGTTGCTACGTTCCTGTATAGAACGGTAAAACATGATTTTTAAAATTTCGCACGAATCTGGCATCAAGTTAAAATTTCGAGGAAAAAGTCGGTATGGAAGTTAATTTTCAGAAATTAAAGTTATAATTCTTGGCAATAGATATATGTATAATCAACTTTTTGTTTAAAAATATCAAAAACACTATAATATATTTCGAAGTTAGAAGTGAAATTTTATAAAAGAGACCACAATTTTTATCTTATTCATTTTCTTATGCCGAAAAAGTATTTGATTCGCAAATTAGGTTCTGTAGTCACTTTTAGGTAAATTCCAGTGCATGATTTGTGTGCAATTTAAAGCAAAAAGTTACGGAAATTAATCTATTCCTCTGCGACATGATATGGCATGATACAAGAATCATGCATTTCTTTGCGATAAGGTTTGTTTTCTATTAAAATATATATTAAAAAAAATTCTATATTCCATACAATTAACTTGGAATGCTTTTGCAAGTAAAACCTTCCTCTTGAAATTTGTAAAGGAGTGAAGTGGCATTGACATTTGCAGTAGAATAGATTTTTAATCCCTACATTATGTTCATGTCAAAACTCTAACTACAGTTTTCGGTAAATATATGTAACCACTTATGTATGCTTAGCTTTAAAGTTGAAATCGGGCATCTAAATTAAAGGGAATATTACTATTTCAGCGGCATTCGTTAGCGACATAAAAAAATTACTTGGTCATGTTTTTGAAGTATTACTGTGCATCACAACAGAATGGGGTCCGTAATGTAATGTTTTATTGATGACAACATTGAGCCATCGCTATATCTCCATCTAAATTTGAGAGTCTTATTCCATCGTAATTTCCATATAGATTGTTTCAATACTTCAGTAATCTTACATTCTTCGATGATTTTGTACAGCTGTAGCCATGTAAAATTAGACTTAAAACGTGCATATATTTATGAGATGAGCAGGATGTAAGGATTCTTTTAGAATAAGATTTCACTATTTTTAGCTTACCTCAAAGAAGCTAGGGGAGCTAATGTATTACCCTCAGCGTCTCAGGTTAAACTTTTTGAAGCAGAATTCTTTTCTGACAAGTACTTCCATGCATTATATTGATCAGAGTTGCATGGACGATGTTTTAGTATGTTTCATTTTACCAGTCCAGACTTCATATGCTGCATTTTCAGCCAAAGACTGATCAGCTAACTATAAGCCCAATATTGACCAAAATTGCAAGGATGATACATATATGGATGCACACAACTAGACTTGCTTTGAATGCTGGATTTGACCTACATTTTCCGGATGATTAGGTTGAAGTATATGCAGCAGGATCATTCCAGTGTAAATTCAAGCCCTCCCTAGACCAACCTAGCTTGGATTTTGCTTCTAGTGAAGTACTCTCATAGACATGATTTGTATGCTAGATCCGACCTGCATTTTCTGGATGAGTGACCAGTTTAAATTTTTGGTATAAGTCCATTCCCAAGTAACTGCAAGCCCTATCTGGACCAAAATTGCATGAATGCTACATCCCTACACTACTAGATTATTAGTTTAATGTGGGACTTTGCCGTACTAAGAGATAACATTCGTTGAGGTGAGCTTAGTAATCTTTGATTACCTGTGTTTTCTTCTGTTATTGATTTTTCTTTTACATTTGTAAAGAATATATTTATGGAAGCTGGTTCAGCCGAGAAAAAGAGTGGGAAGATGAATCACTGCAACAACCAGGGATTATTTTGGTTCTTTACTATGAAGATCTGATAAAGGTATGTTTGCATAACTATTAATTACATAAAGTAGAGCAGATACTTTTAGATGTGCTATGTATATATATATATATATATATATAGAAAGCACAAAGAAATTCACTTTTATAAGGATACCCACTTCCGCCCCAGCCCGGGGTTGAACTCTCGACCTACGGAATCTGTCTCCTAGCAGTACAAGAACAGCGCGTTAGACCGCTCGGCTATCTAGGCAAGTCAAAACACTTGCTTTCGATGCCGATGGAATTCTCACAGCGCTGCCCCGGGCTGGGGCGGAAGTGGGTATCCTTATAAAAGTGAATTTCTTTGTGCTTTCTATATTAATATTTCTTCACTTAGGGCAGTTATGTTAGTTTAAGAGTTGTTGTAAATTGTGCTTTTTATATATATATATATATATATATATATATATATATATATATATATATATATATATATATATATATATATATATATATATATATATATATATATACAGTTGAACTTCGGAATCTCGTACACTGATATCTCGAATACCATGGATATGTCGAAGTGATTCGGAAGTCCCACTTATTCTTTAAGTATTTTACCCCCCGATATCTCGATTATGTCGAAGTTTTTTCTCTGTCAAATCGAGTTCGAGATAACGAGGTTTGACTGTATATATATATATATATATATATATATATATATGTTTACTTAAGAATGGGCTGGAAACGATGGCTCTCATCTCTAATTTTCTTGGTCTGTCATCCGATCCTACTTTCCTGCAAGCTGTCTACAACGAATGCTCCTTCAGAGAAGTGCAAAAGAGAAGGAAGGGCAAGTCTGATGAATTTATTTATAGGAAAGGTAGGATTAACAATTTAGTAATCATTCTGTAAATTGAAATTTTGTAATTTGAAGAAAGTCAGACCTATGCATAAGGCTCGAGCCAGCAAAGTTAGGGATTTAAATAGGGCGTGGAGTCTCGGTTTTATGTTTTGTCCGAAAGCCTCGTGACTTAAACATTTAATTCCAAATATTAACAAACAGTCACTACCCAGTTTAAGGTGTGAGGGTTTGGACTAGCAATCTTCCGTGCAAGAAGTGAGCTCTCAACTCAGTCATCACTGCGATGTGAACAGGTTTCTTTTATTTCCACTATGGAATGACATACGGGATTCAACGACTTCAACCTAGCAGAAGAGAAATTTAACCCGCTTCAAAGAGTTATCTTTTTTTTCTGAAAAGATTGCAATCGTTAATACCCGTATTAACAAGCAAAGAAACTGAAACATTTTGTTGTTTATATTTATATCTTTTAGGAAAAAATGGGGGAAAATTTGTATTTAATAGTATGTATTATCAATCTGTACTTTACAAAAGGTGGATGGGCCATAAAATAGTAGACCTTTAACACTTCTTTCATACATGTATTTGACAGTTTTGGAGCTACAAATGGCTTTTAATTACCAGATCTAACTAGTTAAAAATTCACTTATTGTTATTGCTGGATATGACAGTAATACGTAATATGCCTATTCTTAAGAAATAAAGGAGAAAATATTCAATGGATATAAATATTCTCAGATTAAATAGAATGAATTGGTGTCTCCTCCTTTTCGCAATGATAGCTGAAGTTAAAGAAAATATGTGATAAAACTGAAAGAACAGAATTGAGCATTTTCTTTGAAGCTTTATACAGCTGTTTAACTCACCCTGCTGCAATTTAACATAGATATTTTTTCAAAAAAACGATTTTTTTTTAACATTTTTACCATATGCAAAAGTTGAAACTAAAGGTATAAATTACAAATGTATGTGAGGAACTTGACCGAGATTTGTTTTTGTTTGAAGAAGTAGAAATTAAAATATAAATGATATCTACGAGGTCTGGTATTTCTTGTATACATGCATAATAAGTTTGAAATCTTTTCATATATTTTGAAGAAGTAGAAATTGAAATATACACGATCACTTCGAAGTCTGGTTTTTATTGTATATACAAGCATAAAATTTTGAAATCTTTTCATCTGCAGTATTTGTTTCTTTTACAGGCACTGTGGGTGATTGGAAATCACGTTTTACTGTTGCTCAAAGCGAGAAATTTGATCTCATTTTCAAGGAAAACATGAAAGATACGAAGTTAAAAATACATTTAAATTAATTTGTAGAAAATATTACCATTGCCAATCTTATATTCCGGAGTGGATGAACTGTCATATGAAATTTAAAACATTGCATAAAATATTTCGGTTATGCTCTCATACTGGAATTATAACCACATGCTTAGCGTAAAGCTACACAAACTACAAACTACATGAGGCTACACACGGGAAATAATAAAACTTGATTAAAATTAAAAATAAATAGGATTCACTCGTCTTCATAAAAACAGTTATTAAAATTACTTTCATATATTACGAAAAATTATAAAAGACAACAAGTCGGATCCTAGAATACCTTTGAATTATCGTGGAATCAGTCTTTTATCTGTGGTACATGTAGCTAAAATCTTCGAAATAGTCTCTTCAAAACCCTGTATGGGCTGGAGGAGTACGTCAATATATTCTTACCTAAATCTATACGATCAGTGATGGCAATGTTTCTTTGCGGTGTACTACCGCTTCGAGTTGAAATTGGACACTAAAAATTTGAGACACCTCAAGACAGAATTTGGAAATTTTGCAACAAAAATGAAATTGAACACGAAATATATTATTTTTACTACATTGCAAATTATATGAAAATAAGAGAAAAGACGTCTTCCGCAAAATAGGATTTAATACGTGCTCAAATGTGTCATTTCATAATACATTATTTTCTCATATTCTATGTAAATTTCCCAGGAAATCTGCTACTTATATATTTGATGCTTTTAAAACCCGCCAGAACTTCACGAGAAGGATATTCTAATATCACTATCTTCATTCATGCGTTTATTTCTGTGTTGTCAAAATATCAACTCTGGCATATAAGTCCTTTGGGCCGGATGTAAGAAACTAAATCTATTGTTGTAAAATATGTGGTGTAATCGTATATCAATACATGCCACTTTAATGAAAAATTCTTTGCTTACATGTACTTTCTCAGGTACTCCTTTAGTCGTTTCGATTTATTGTCTGTAAAATGTGCCTAATGCATGATATAGAAAATGCAAGACATTTATTTATACATAACGACGTTCATTATAGCAGATTTAATCGAAGTATTGAACGACTTATACAAGAAAAATATAAGCCTTTTTAATTTGGATACAGATGTACTTTTGTCACTATCAAATGCCATATGTTAACTAGTTTTTGGTATAGATATCGTTAAGAAGGACAATAAATTTTCCATGAGTATTCACATTTTCAATGTTTTTATCAAATCAAAAACAAAACAAACACGCAAACAAAGAAAACCCAAATTAAAAAAAACACATGCATTTTGTTACTACAAAATGTATGCTTATTTTTTTATTTACTGAGACTGCATGCATACAGACTGCACCGCATTACATTTGTTTTATTTGCAAAATAATTAAATCCATTAATCGCAAACAGTTTCCACCCAAAATGCATGTGTTATGCATGTTGGTCTTTTTCTATTGTTTTATTAAACACCAACGTTATCAAAATTAGTTTGAATTAATCTTAATAAATTTTGCTACACGTATACGAGATTTCAGAGTGATATTCATACATGTATAAAGTGAAATATAACAGGAACATGCTTTTCAGAGAAATCTTCTTTTTTAGCCTATTTGTGTATTATACAGAATCTACGACTTTCAATGAAATGTACATGTGAAATCATATGTAATTTGTTATGGGAGATATGTGATAATACCTGTACATCACTGTATAAATGTCTGGTACTATTGTAAATCGGTACAGATAAACGAGCCTCAGGTCAATTTAACATAAATTATTTTCGTACCAACAAGTACTGTTTTCTATTCTTACCAAATTATTGGAATAAACAGAAAGCTGTATTATATCTAGTCAAAGAGGATGAAGGAATAAAATTATAATAAATTATATAAATTATTTTATAGTGTGATTATTATCTTATAGATTTCAATTACTGAATTTGTGATGATAGATAGATAGATAGATAGATAGATAGATAGATAGATAGATAGATAGACGGACGGACGGACGGATGGATAGATAGAAACTAATAGTAAAGATATATATAGCGGGAAAAAGTATATATCTGATACATATATATTATTATAACAGTAACTTGATCCGAGGAGCCGTATCACGTCGAGTTGACAGGCGCGGATCATCAGATCAAACGAGACGCGAAGCGTCGAGTTTGATCTGATGATCCGCGCCTGTCAACGAGACGTGATACGGCTCTTCGGATCAAGTTACTGTTATAATGATAAATTTATTATATACCCCTTTACAACTAGCAAAGTATAATAAAAGGAAAACTTTTTTGGATCAATTACATAACTTTTATCCATTAAACAAACCATTTTGTCAAGGAACTTTTTGATGCGCGAGAATAAAAACGTCATTTATCTGTGTACTACGTCATCAGTTTCAGAGAGGGGTGATATGGATTCAGAAAACCACAGTGTGGTGATCTGGAAAGTCGGATCACACTCTGTAAAATTAACAGTAACAAAAACAAAGAAATTGATGGGTATATAATAAAAAATATAATCATGTAGCATTTAGAACAGGTTTTTATCTGTTAATTAAAGTTTTTCTTTGGTTTCACGTTCTCTCTCTGTGGTATTCCTTCGAAATTTGTAAAAGGGCAAAACGGTAAAATTGGGATTTTTCTTTTTGGCACAGTTTCTAATAGGGTCACTGACAGGGGTACACTGTTATTTTGGTTCCCTAATTTGCTGTCGGTGTACAGTCATTTTGTGTCTTCAGGTGTCTCTTGTCTGACCGATATAATTTTTGAAAAATGAAAAATATGTCAATGTAGTGAAAAGCACCATTCAAACTTCTTGTTAATTTAGCTATTTTGATAAAGCAGATAATATAATCTGACTTAATCATCACTGAAAGGAGGTGGTCATTTGTAAATCTTTGTGTTAAATAGATAAATATTATACATTTATTGCATGATCTTGAGGTGATTAGGAAGATGTATTCAGCAATTTTTTTTTTTTCAAGGGCTTCGCCAGGGCAAAGCCCTCAGGGAATATGATTTTTCTTGTCTGAAAAATCTTCATATTTTCCTCACGATCATGCAGTAAAATTGTTTATTTTACCGAAACAGCCAACCCTTTAAAAATAATTGCAAACTTTAAATTCTACACCACTCTCAAATTTTCTTTCAGTATATAAAAGCCAATGAAACACATAACTGAGGTCCCCATGACTCTTCACAGACATTTGTCTTTGATTTCTTTGTTTTTTAACGACATGACGGCAGGGAAATATGAAGTTTTATTACCCTGTCACGTGTTTGTCTAGAACCAAATAGATAACGCGTTGTATAGAATTATTTTAATGAGCTCGCTTTTTTAAATTGAATGCTAGCTTGCACTTCATAAATGTTAAAGGTCTTCCATCCAAATTATCTCTTTAGATATATTCTTTGTCTTCTCGACGCCACCCTTTACTTAAAATGTATAATATTGTAACACTACTGGACGAAAAGAGAATCCCACATTTTACTGATGATGTTTGATAATTACTGATAGGTGCTGTTCTTGTTGATAAATATTGATATTTACTGTTATTATTACTGTTGTTGCTGATAATTTCAGTTTTTTCTGATAAATACTGATAATTACTGTCGTCTTTACTGTTGAGTCTGATAAATACTGTTTGATGGGGCGTTACAAGCTAGCCAATATTTGTGTTACCATTTGCTCAACAAATCTTGCTTATCTAGTTAAGGTGGCGATGTAACGCCCCATAACATATTTTGTCATATATAATGATACTGTTTTTTCTAGTCCCTTCAATGTACTAGTCCAAATCAGTTAAACACAAATATTTCCATGTTGTATATAATTAAACTTTTTTATTGGTAGGACTGTTTGTCTAGTTGCATGCTTTTTGACTGGGCATATTATGTACTTTTATGCAACAGGCTATTATGTGTATTTCTATTTGTTTATTGTCATTTATTTAATGAATGACCTATTTTATCTTTATTGAGGAGTTCTCTTTATAACTATGGGTGGTAGGCAGACAGACATAGATACTGTTGCTGTGCTGTCGATGCTGAGATTTACTGATAATTACTGTGGTCATTGTTCTTGAGCTGAGAAGTTGCTAAAAAAATCCCGAGTGATAATTAATTGTTTTAAAGGAAGTATTTTATCAACAAATTCATTACAGTCTATTTAGTAGTTAAATTCTAAATGAAATTATTTGTTTTTACATTTCATTATTCATTAATTTATTTTTATTTTATTACTATTTTTACATCTTAATGTTAAAATTAGATCATAAATGTTTATGTTTTCCTTTCTCTTTATATTTCTCCTTAATAAGTTGTCAATATCTGAACGAGGGAAGGGTAGTCATGCAGGAGTTACCCTACCAAGGTACTTTTTATAACATTTTTTTAATTCACAAAGGTAAAAAAATTCCCATCTCATATTATTTTCCACATGTATTTGTACTGTCGTAAATTTTTTCAGGAAGTATCTTTAATACAGTCATTGGTTGCCATTATTAATTTATATTTTCATGTAGAGAACCTGAATATTTGACAAGTAACATGTATGAGAGGGTTCCGTTTGCTCTGTTAGTTGAGACCCCCCCCCCTTTTTACATACAATCCTCCTTTCAACAAGGCAGTATTAAATACTTCTCACAAAAAATTTATTCCTGTAATATACATTGTATACTATGTCTATCTTATAGCTAGTGCTCTCTAGTTCTATAATTTATGTCCTCCCCGCGATTTTTTAAATATCATATTGTGGTATCAAGCTTCCTATCTTTCGTTATTTTTTTTTTTTTTTTTTGTTTTGTTGTTGTTGTTGTTGTTGTTGTTTTTTAAACCATCAGTAACTAGAAATCTTACGCAGTATGATTTTCATTCAATGAAATACGCATCTTTCAATCAGTTAAAAAAAAACAAAATAAAACAAAATTTGAAATTACTTGGTTGTTCCAGGCCCGGATCCAGGATTTTTTTCAAGGGGGGGAGGGGGGGGGGGCACCCCGCTCAAAAAAAAATTCCAACCCAAAAACAACAAAAAACGTAAAATCCACGTTCCAAACGTGAAAAACACCTATTTCGTGGTGTTGATGGTGTGGATTACGTTTTCTAGGGGGGTCCAAAGTCATTATTTATTTGCTTTAGTATATACGTCCGAGGGGGAGTTCCGGACCCCCCCCCCCCTTAGGTCCGCGCATGTGTTCTAAAACATCATGTTAAGGGGATGAAGGACACATAGTCACATGACTCTGTTTAACTACGTCATAGTCTCCGTTTATATAAGTGCAAAACGTGTAAAGCATCAGTTCTTGTATAATTTTTTGACAATTTTTTAACTTTAATTACTATCTTATATAAAAAAAAAAATAAAAGTTTTAACATTCTTTTAAATATTAACAAATTATGAAAAAGATTGATCCACACCTCTGTTTCCCTAAGCTGCGCGTCCAACAAGTCGGTGACGTCATACACGATCTGTTAGTACAGAAAGATCATTCTCGGTGAACAGAGGGGCGGTATTATTATGTAAAAACAGGTCATAATCAGTATATTTTGAAATATTTTGAGAAACGGGGAACACAAAAATTATTTTTGCATGGCTGATGACGGAAATCTTATGTAGGTATATCTTATTTCGCTTATTTAGCTTACATGTGACGTCATAGTTGTTTTTTCCCGTAATCGAAAAATGTAACATGACCCGTTTTTGTCACGCTTATATCCTCTTTAACGATGTCCTGTGAAATAATGAGGTCAGCTTCATCATTCGAAACTTTTACAGTTAATCAATAATTTGAAGGATTTGTATTTCAACGTAAATTGAAAAATATTGAATGATAGAATTTTTTGTAAATTACGTTTTTTATTGTTTTTAAAAGTTGTCTTAAAAAGTGCGTAATTTTCCGTATCCAGATGCAGTGTGATAGACAAAACTTGCTTTTTCGAATTTTAAATCCTAGGTATACTCTGAAATATTTTAAAAGATACATGTCCACACTGATATTTTTTATGTATGCTTAAAAAATCCCATTATGGACAGAGTAATCCGCCCGGAAACATGGAGAATTAAAACTCCACTTAGATACTGTAGGTCATAGTATTTGTCAATCAATATCTCCAAAATAAGGTTAGAAACCTAATGATATAACTGCTTTAAGATATGTGGGACATACTAAATTAGAAATATACAAAATATGAAAAAATTGAATGACAAGTATTTTTTTTCAGCTCAAGGTCCTTCTCCTCCTTAAATATTCACATGTCCACCACGTGTAGAAGTTCCTACTTTCTTTTTGAGAATCGGGTCAGATATTAGTACATTCTGTATTTCTTACGACATGCATTTAGTAACATAAGAAATAACTTTGTACAGAGAGTATAATATTTGCTTTTCATTCCATTTCTCGTTGTGCGAGACCAATGTCTGTACACGCGACATGATTCAATTAGTTATTCAGACTTAGCAGAAAAGGGGGGGGGGATGAAATACAGATGATAGGCTGTCACAAGCAGTAAATATAAAGAAATACATGCATTAAAATGTTGCTGTGAAAATTAAATTTAAAAAAGTAATGATTGAAGAAGGTTTTAATAGCCCTAAGCTCTATTTCAACACCTTCTCAGCTTAAGAACAATGACCTCAGTAATTATTATCAATCTCAGCATCAACAGCACAGCAACAGTATTTATCAGACTCAACAGTAAAGACGACAGTAATTATCAGTATTTATCAGAATCAACTAAAATTATTAGCAACAACAGTAATAATAACAGTGAATATCAGTATTTACCAGCACGAACAGCACAGTATCAGTAATTATCAAACATTATCAGTTAAAATTGGGATTCTCAGCACTTTTTCGTCCAGGGGCCCGTTTTACAAAAGAACTTACGACTAAGACTAAGACCAAAATTTAATTCTGCTTATAACTTTCTAGTTTACATTAAATAGAAAATGGTTTCAATATTTTTAAAAGGTATGTGGAAAGATACTTTTACGCTAGGAATTTTAAACAGAATAATTAATTTTGTACAATTTTACAATCAACTCAAGTTTTTGGTCTTAATCATAAGTTCTTTTGTTAAACGAGCCCCAGGAGTATAGGTTCCCCGGGGATGGCCTTTCATAAATGAGGGACACAAAATATGATATCATACTGTACACATATACATGTATGTAGGTTGGTACTTCAGTCCTGGATAACTTCAATATTGTTATTAAAACGAGAGTTTCTCAAGGGAAACAATAATTATTAACACATTTCAGCATTAACAACATCAGATAGAAAACGTGAGTCTGGTCGATGGCGTCTATTATACTGGAAAATGGCAAAAATGGGTCGGGTACAAGGTGACCGTCAAATCTATATCATATAGTAATTAAATAAAAAAAATAATGTTTCCAATTAATAACAAGGTGTCGAGTGTCTTAGGAGATAATTGGCTTAATCAATTCTCACCATAATTGGATGATCGAAGAGCTTTTGGAATTTTGAATTTGGCGCTGGGAGAACTTTAGACAAGATTGTCTGCTTTTATTGGTTGATCGACACCGCACAAGATGAGTTTTTGCCGTGCAGTGCCAAACAAGTTTGTCGTACACATAGAATAAATAATTAAAACATACTAAGATTTAACAAAATACATATGGATTAAATTAATGTAATTATGCTGGATATTATCATAATCTATAAGTAAATATTCCATTCCAAGATGAGTTTTGCCGTGCAGTGCCAAACAAGTTTGTCGAACACATAGAATAAATAATTAAAACATACTATGATTTAACAAAATGCACATGGATTAAATTAATGTAATTATGCTGGATATTATCCTAATCTCTAAGTAAATATTCCATTCCTAGAAATATTTATAATTGTCATAAAAACATCGGATCGTATAGCAGACAATGTCAATTAAATACTGTCAAATAGGAGCACAATGATAAGCTATTGAAGGTACAAATGACTGTCTGACAATAATTAAAAAAATCGTAAGAATTCTTATAGCAGCAATCGTCTAATTGTTTCTAATAATGGACAATTAGAAAATCATAGGAATACAAAATTCGAAACTCTGGCTAGTATGTACGTCACATCAAAAAAGATGGCAGCGGGTTGTAAACAAGAGTATCCAGAACAAATAAATCGCGCTATTACAGTTCTTTAAGATTAAAATCTCTCACCCCAGTTCATGAATAATCACAAGAAAACATGTTCTTTTTAAAGGTATGTCATCCAATTCATGAGATACCGAATTAAATTAGAAAAAAAAATTATTTATATATAAGCATGTCCTATAAATAGGATAAATACATGTACATCTCAAATTAAAGCAATTGAAATAATGGCTTTACAAAGACGCAGTAATAAATTACACAATAAAATACAGTATGGCAGAGTTAAATGATGTTAAAATTTAAATTTCATGTACATGATATAGGTCTTACATTATTTAGCGTGTACGATATTTAGCGGAAATTAATTTTACAACAATTTAGTATAGATGTGATTTAGCACTTTCTGAAGGTGCTGGATATAAATATATACAAATACATATATAAAATTTAGCAATGTACTAGATTAAGCAGAAGATTCCTTCGATATATCTATATGATTGTTTACCAATGACGTGGCTGTTAATTAAATTTGTTCTTTGCACATACATGTACGTATAATGCTTGTTGGTTATACTGATTGGAAGAATTTTCTGTTAACTTATATATTGTAATGATCATTGATTGCGAAATATAATGTCATACAGACAAACAAGTAACTCTCACGATAAGGTATCAAAAATGACCTAGTACAAAAATAGATGAACCTTTGAAAGAATGCAGAGTGCAGTCAACGACCATTGGATTGGTGAATGTGTTGACCTCTTATGGTAAGTTTAGATGTTTAAAAATATTAGGCTACATCAAAATTACATAAACATGTTCAGTGTTATAAATCCATAAGGCATTTGCATCTCCTTCCCTCTGCCACTTACACACTAAAACTAAATACGATTCTCTGTCTTTTGTTTACGTAGAACGTCTGAAAGTGGAAAGTGTATACAACAACAACGATCAAGCAGCAGTATTGATTTCACGACTTGGTGGCCATAGTATGATGGCGAGTAAAGAGAAGATCAGAGTTGACGGAATAGTTCTGCCGGGTTTTAAACCACTTCTACAAGATGCCAATCAACGCCTCAGAGACATTGAAAACTTACCTATGAGGAAAGATGATGTTCTGATCAGTTCCTATCCCAAGTCAGGTAAGCCTTATTCCAAAACTGTTCAACCAAATTCAATTATGAACCTGTCCAATTTACATGTGATATAGTATTTATTCATGACCTGGTATTAATCCCAGCTCATCCGGCATGACTGGCAGGGTATTGTAGAATTTACATGGTCCTTTATTTCACTGAAAGGATTCAATGATTACACGGATACAGTGGGGATATTCACATAATACTTAACAGCTTAATGTTGTGAGCTAAAAATGTTATATTTAGAAACAGAGGAAATGTGCATCACAATGAAAAGTAGCAGAGACATAAAGGTATCACACCGGTAATTGACCAATCAAAATGAACTTAGTCAATTGTAGTTCCATACATAATGAAGAAATATTTTTTTTATTGTGAGAAATTTTTTAAATTTCCCTTATTCTATTTTTACATTTTTGGTATCTGTGCTTAGGATATTTTATGTACTTTGTAAAATATTAAAGGTTTTTGACAGGAACTATTTCTTTCGGGGCATAGGAGGCCACTTCCTGGGGTGCACACAGGATGTTTATAAACACATTGAATACACGTGGTTTTGAGGGTATTCCTGTTTGCGGATGGAAAAAATCAGAAAATGCCGTGTAGGTACCCTATTTTTTGGTGTCAGCTGATGTGACTGGTAACGTTTAACACTTCCTGCTAAATATTTTTTCATGAATTCGAATACCTGATTTTTAATGATTTTTTATTCTATATAGAATTACATAGTGAAAACAATTACCGGTGTGATACCTTGAAGGTGATTGTGTAAAATCATCTACACCCATATTAAAGGCAGTTTTTATTTTATAAAGGCATATTTCAACAAAATATGTCATTTTATGAACTTTCTGTGTGAAAGTACATATTTTTAAATTTAGAAGCAGGGTTGACATTAATTTATACAGATTTCTATGTAAAATACTAATAATATGTCATGTTTTACCCTCAAAACTCCAAATTATGACTTTCAAAGTAGGATTATGCATCTGACATGTAGAAAGAAGTTAGAAAATGTTGGTTTTTTATTTTAGATGACTTTAAACTCTGTGCACCATCTGACCGCAGTCAATTATAGTGTCTACAGACTTTGCCGTAAAAGCACTTTAGGCTGATTTTTTCAAGAAAAGACTAATTCTGGGTTTGCGAATGAGTTTTCAACAAAAGCGACAACTGCGTTAAAATGTGAAGAAGTAAAACATGTTTTTAAAAAGTGTTAAATTTTACAGAGACTGGGTTTACTTTCATTTTATTCACCTTAAGTGATTCATTTATTACTGGAGTGGAGGAATAGAAATAATGAAATGAGTTAAATTTGTCTAATAAAAGTAATGCACAAATAAAATTTATTAAGAATTTTTCAAAAATAAGAAGCTTATGACCAAAAATGCATAAATACTGTCAAGGCATGAGAGTGAATACTTATTCTGAGTCCCAACCATGCATCACACATATAGTACAGAATGTCACTTAGCACCATGGTATGCCTGTTATGGTTCTCTAGACTTTTTCCATGCTTTCGCAGCTGACATTCAAGATTTTTCAGTTTGCCGGAGAATGTTTTTTGTCATTTTACCACTTTTATGTAGGTGTTGACCCTCTCTTTTAAATTAAGTCTCAGTCAGGATGTTTATTTTAGCATGATTTGTTCAGCACATTAATGTATTGAAATATTAATAAATTACAAATTAAAGTGATGAAGAAATTTGACATATTTACACAATCAAAATATCAGAATAACCATAATTCAGCTAATAAAGTGCCCTGTTCTTCTTTTGTCACTTCCTATAAATTTTATCAGCTGTTTTTGTACACCCACCCACCTCCAAGAATCATGGAGGATGGCCTGATATTAGTTGCTTTGTTGCATTTATTCACATTTAAAAGTGTTAAGACCCATAAAAATGTTTAAGATTTATATTTTTAAATTTAAATGTTGAATTTTTATGTAAATTTGGTGAAACAAAAAGCTGTAATCTTGAATATAATCATGCAAATTCATCAAACACCTTTAAAATTCCTGAGTAATTCAATGAAAAGAGGATAATTATGTATGTTCAATTGGAATTTCATGGCTAATTTGTGTCTGCAGAGAAAGCTAGTTACATAAATCACAACAATAAATTACATCTGAATTGTTTTCTCCATTTTCTTATCATCAAAGCAAGTTTAATGGAGTGTCAGAGCTGTCCAGAACCTCCCCAGGTGCTGATATCATTTGGACTGCCCTGTGTTACAACACAGCTTTTAGATAAACTTCTGCATAGCAGGTTGTAGACAAGTACCTAGGCTTTATTTGGAACATAAATTGACCAGATGCAGATTTTATTATCAGCCTGATATTTAACAATTTCTGTAAATTCTGTCATTCTTGGGAGGGTAAAGTGCAATTTTGTTATGTAATAATTGCATAATGGTCTCAGACTTGTGAATTATTTTTTGTTTGTTGTGAAGAACAATGCATATACTCTCCATGGATACAAAATTGGTTGCCAGGCTTAGTCTATTAAGGATGAAATTCTGCTTCAAAATATGCACAAAAAACTTCTGTCAGAGTGCTCAGTGTGTATTCTTGACTGCTCTGGAGTAAGGGAGATAAATGCATCATATCTCCAGCAATAATGGGAATTAGATCCCCAGACTTCAGGATGTTAGTGACAGTTATTTAAGAAATCTCAGGTGCAAAAATGAAAAAAATCTGACAACTTCAAAGGTCCTTCAAGGTATCACACCGGTAATTGACCAATCAAAATGAACTTAGTCAATTGTAGTTCCATACATAATGAAGAAATATTTTTTTTATTGTGAGAAATTTTTTAAATTTCCCTTATTCTATTTTTACATTTTTGGTATCTGTGCTTAGGATATTTTATGTACTTTGTAAAATATTAAAGGTTTTTGACAGGAACTATTTCTTTCGGGGCATAGGAGGCCACTTCCTGGGGTGCACACAGGATGTTTATAAACACATTGAATACACGTGGTTTTGAGGGTATTCCTGTTTGCGGATGGAAAAAATCAGAAAATGCCGTGTAGGTACCCTATTTTTTGGTGTCAGCTGATGTGACTGGTAACGTTTAACACTTCCTGCTAAATATTTTTTCATGAATTCGAATACCTGATTTTTAATGATTTTTTATTCTATATAGAATTACATAGTGAAAACAATTACCGGTGTGATACCTTAAGATCAAATAGAAGTAGATAAATTTACGGAGTTTTATTGAATACTAATGGAGAATTCCATGTAATACGGATCAATTAACCAGTCAAGGTAGAAAAGCAATGTTTTGTCTCAGATCTAAGGTTAGTCTTTTGAGTTTAAATATTAAAATTATGGTCTCACTATTTGACACATATGTCAGAAGCATATGGGTTACGGTGTGAAGTTGGGGGAAGCCACAATGTACGGAAGCCCAATAGTGCAAACCAAAAATAAATAAACAAAAAACGAAATTATTAAATAAAGAAAACGAAATTATTAAAGAAAAACGAAATTATGAAATAAAGAAAACGAAATTATTAAATAAAAAGCAAACGAAATTATTAAATAAAGAAAACGAAATTATTAAATTAAGAAAACGAAATTATTAAATAAAGAAAACGAAATTATTAAATAAAAAACTGAAACTAAAATACGGAATTTATAGATGTGCATGGTAAGGGCCTGAACCCATGAATCATTCCATAAAGCGCACGTGTTCTATGACCTGATTTTGTTTCGACATTAAAACAAGTGTGATATTTCCATTTACACTCAGCTATTTCCGTATCGATAACATAACCAGTTGGAGTAAACAATCATAATAGACGAATAGGGGAGAATTTTACCTTTGGTTATCCAATATGCTTAGATCTATGTTTTTATCTTACATTAACATGATTAATGTGAACTTAATTTGACCAGTCTGATGAATTGGCCAGTGATGACAAGTTTATGTTAGTATTAGCTTTCTTAAACCCTCAACTCAGAAGGTCTTATTATTAGCAAACAATGAATCTGGACATGAAACATCAAAGAGATTATGCTAATAAATTGCACAAATATTTAACGTAGGTCGCGGGTTTGCTGACGTCATTAAAACTGGGTACGCAATTTATATGGTTTGGGCGACTTTCTTGTGCACATTTGATTATGACGTCACAATGATTACATCATTATCTAGCTATAACTTTTGTTGGAATTGGTATTTTATTGTTATATTATTTAAGGCACAACTTATCACAAATAGTGAAGGCTTTTTACGATTTGAATAGTCGATACAATATTTAGATATAACTTTTGTTGAAAATGGTAGTTTAGTGTAATATTATTTATAGAACAAACTGAAGTTATCAAATATAATGAAGGCTTATTACGATTCGAATCCAACACTGGAAGTATTAGAAAACGTTTCATTATGTGTTATCAATCGCATCCAGGAGAGCTCGGAATTTTCGGCTTGTCGGAAAGGTCCGCGAAAAGCGATTAATTAGATATCACATGGTATCGCGAAACGATATGGGCACAAGTTTCAACTGACCTCTTTTCCTTTGAACGTATTTGAATTAACAGTTTGTTTAATTAATAAAGAAATCATTATATAAACAATTGCAAATACACCTATTACATTAAAAGTTTAACCTTTATTTTTAAAAAGGACATTCTAAAAATATATTTAAAGGTTTATCACAAATTAAAAACTGCTAAAAGTACTATGAAACATAAACTAATGCATTTTTTGAGCGACACTGACCTCCTGTAAGTAAACAAAGGCACTTTAGATATGGATTCCCCCTTTCCATTTTTTCTTTTTAAATCTGGGATCGAGTCACCCTTCTCCTATTTTTGTATTCTAATACCGACAATTTACCCTTAGGCCGTAAAGATGCCCTTAGATGCGGGTGATTTAATCGAAATATTTACTAATCGGGGGCACATGAAAATTAAATGGAAATATGAAACGGAAGAAGAATGTGTAAAAAAAAAATGTTGATGTCTGCATATTTCATGTTTTCTTATGCTTTAGATAAATAATCATGCGAAGTTTATAAGTTTAAGAAGTGAGTTAAACGACGAGAAGATCTCTCTCTATGTATCAGTCGAAACGATATATATATATTTAAAAACAGCTTATAGAGTCAAAAGGGTTACATTATCGATAGCATATAGTACATGTTAGAAAACAATAATAGGAAAAAGGTGACTCGACCCAAGATTTAAAAAGAAAAAAAAGGGGGGGGCATTTTTATGTATCAGTCGAAAACGATATATAAATATATTTAAAAACAGTTTAAAGAGACAAAAGGGTTACATTATTGATAACATATAGTACATATTAGAAAAGGGTGACTCGACCCCAGACTTAAAAAGAAAAAAAATGAAAGGGGGGGGGGGGGGTCAATACCTCAAGTGTCTGTGTAAGTAACGGCTTACAATGCTGTTATCTACAGATTTTTTTCGCTATTCTGCTTTCCACGTCCAACCAGTCAAATTAATGTTATGTACATTGAAAGTCTTTTGAAACAAAAACAATTTGAGTTATCCCCTGTCTGTATGTAAAAATAAATAAAAACATTTTTTAAATATATACTGAAAATACAAAAAACATAAAAAAAAAAAAACAAAAACAAAAAAAAAAAAAAATCTGCCTGTTGATTACGTCAGATAAAATTAATTTTTAGATTCTCGTCCCATTTACCCCTCTAAAAATGCCTCGTTCGTTCGTTTGTTTGTTTGTTTTGTTTTTGTTTTTCTATTCTTATACATATAATCATAAAATCAAGTTCAGATTTTTTTGAGTTATCCCCTGTCTGTATGTAAAAATAAATAAAAACATTTTTTAAATATATACTGAAAATACAATGTATTTAGCCGGGACGATATTTGGCGGAAATTCATTCATTAAGAAGTTATCGTAGCTATGAGCGCATTGTTGAATGTTCTAAATAAAAACATTTCATATGTATACTCGAATAAGAGGATAATCGTTTTCCGCCAACACGCTGAAAAAATACACGGCCACATATTGGATACTTATCTACGAAAAAGAAAATAAATCAAAAAGAAAAGAAACGGTAAGAAAACAACACATATAGAAAATACATTGAAAGAAAGAAACTAAAGGACCGATTGTCGTTTTACGTCCCTTGAGATAATTTTCACTAATATGAGACGTACAAAGAATATAAGAAGAGAAACAAGTCTAATAATCATTTCATTGCTATTGAATTATAATGATACGATTCGTGGGTCATATGAAAACAGATAGACGTGAATTAAAAATATTTTAATTTGTTTTTCTGCTCTGTATACCGGATCGATATTCACGACGTCAAGCGTGACGTCGCGATATTTTATGACGTAGTTCTTAAAAATGTTAAATTTTGCAATATAAAAGCAATTATCTACATTTAAACTACGAGAAAACAAACCCGAAGACATATTAATTTTTTCACATAGATTTATTTCAAATCAATTCTATTTTAAGATACCAAAGGGAGAACAATTTTGTCTGCACCATTTAAAAGTTAATGATATTTTTTGAAAAAAAATCTTGCCTGAAAACGAGCCGAAATCGACGTTTTTCCTATATAATTCAATACAATAGCGTCGAAAATGTTACTACAACAATGACATCTTTGGGATTTAATTACATAAAAACGATGCAGACGAATTTTATAAAATTTTCAGAGAATGTAAAACAAAGGTAGAGGAATCATATAACTAATTTTCATGGTATGTTTTCGGACACTTTTAAAAGGCCTGCAAACCCGCGACCTACGTTAAGATATACATGTCTGTTAAGATTCCGTTGTTTACAACTGCTGAGCCTTATAACATTTAGGAAATTCCCATGGTTATACATCTTTTTTTTTCCATTATAGCACAGTACAAAAAAATGCTGTAAAATGATACGTTACCGATCGGAACCCATTATAAATTATTGTTTAAAGAGAGCAAGTGCAAAAATTAAACAAGACAAAGTTGTTACAATGAGTAGAATTTAATGATTGCTTACTTTATTAAAAATTAAGCAAAACACCTCTAATTTCTTGCACAGGCGCTCCCCAAGTAATTCTGTAAATGATGAATGATAAGTATATATATATATATAGGACTACCCCTCAATACTATAAAATCAACAAGGTTGATTTTGTAGTATTGAGGGGTAGACCTATATATATATATATATATATATATATATATATATATATATATATATATATATATATATATATATATATATATATATATATATATATACTTATCATTCGTCATTTACAGAATTACATGGGGAGCGCCTGTGATTTCTTGGTCATTTATCAAAGCATAATTAGAAGTGATGCACTAACTATTTGTTCTCACATATTATAAATGACAAATTCTAAATCTGTATTCATAAGTCAGTGATAGTTGTGAATAAACAATGCACACACTTGCATAACAAATCCAACAAGTATTCAAATCATTCTCTTTATTGTTTCAACAACCTAAGATTTATGGGTACACAGATAGGGCACTAGGTTTAGTTCGGGGGGAATTCAGCGATACGATACGCAAGGCCTTGACCTTTCAGCGATTCATGAGCTCTTTTGGAATGTCATTAATTTTATGTAAGCAGAAACGGCCATCCTCGCTACGTCCAGGCTTACAGGCTCAAACTTTGACGTTGTGGGGATGCGACACAGCATCAAATTCCCGTAAACAAAATTGAACAGTTATTAATCATTTACTTTACAAATGCGAATTATAGGCTGTGAGCACATAATATTTTTCTACGTTTGTCAATTTGACATTTATCTAAGTTTTTTTTTTTTCATTTCCCCCACACTTGTTTCAATGTCGAAACAAAATCAGGTCTATAGAATTACTAAGTGATGCTTTATAACACGTGCGCTTTATGGAATGATTCATGGGTTCAGGCCCTTACCATGCACATCTATAAATTCCGTATTTCAGTTTCAGTCTTTTATTTAGTAATTTCGTTTTCTTTATTTAATAATTTCGTTTTCTTTATTTAATAATTTCGTTTGTCTTTTATTTAATAATTTCGTTTTCTTTATTTAATAATTTCGTTTTCTTTATTTAATAATTTCGTTTTCTTTACTTAATAATTTCGTTTTCTTTATTTAATAATTTCGTTTGTCTTTTATTTATTAATTTCGTTTTCTTTATTTAATAATTTCGTTTTCTTTATTTAATAATTTCGTTTGTTTCTTTATTTAGTAATTTCGTTTTCTTTATTTAATAATTCCGTTTTTTATTTAATAATTTCGTTTTTTATTTAATAATTTCGTTTTCTTTATATAATAATTTCGTTTTCTTGTTTCTTATTTTTTTTGGTTTGCACTATTGGGCTTCCGTACACAATGCATGTAATGTTGAAAAGATACATTTAGAATTCCAACACACATGTGATTAGTACTTGTTCTGGCCTGGAATTAATCTCAGCTCATTCGGCATGACTGGCGGGGTACCCTCGGAAATTATACGGTTCTTTATCTAGTTGAAAGGATGCAATGGTAACAATATCAGTATTGAAGAAATACCATAAAAAATACAGAAAGATGAATTAAAATTTGAGGAAAAGACTCAAAACTACTTAAATAGTATTATTGTAAAAGTCTTGGGCATGATATGCCCCATACAACATTATTTAAGAAAATGATAACAGAACTGAGATGGTTCTTTTTTGCTTATTTTTACTTTTTGTTATTCTCCTACTAGTAGTAAAAGTAATTACCACGGTTGTTAATAGAGGGAGCATTGAGGGGAAAAGGGTCTGCCAGAAAAGTAAACTAGATAACAAAAATAAACAATGACCTTGAATAAAACTTAAAGTTGTATTATTATTAATACAAATGATTATCACAAAACATAAATTACACAAACTCTGTTATGCTTACTTGAAATCTGGTTATTACAGCACAATAGAGTATTTGTTTTTGCCACAGACCTAGAGTAAACAGTCGCCATCTTCAGCAATATTGATAAAATAATGTTTTGAAATGGGGAAATAAAGTATGTATTAACATATATATTAACATAAAATTCGTTCTAGGAAACCATTGGCTGAATGAAATCGTCCCTCGTCTTTTGCAAGGAACAGTTGAATCTTCCCATAGGTTGATATACACTTTTCTGGAGTTCGTGCCCGATCTACAGGATCTAAAATCAGTGCCCTCTCCTAGAGTCGTGACGTCACATCTTCCATATCGATTTCTGCCCAAAGAACACACACAAAACAACGGTAAAATTATCCATATTATCCGGAACCCCAAAGACGTTGCCGTGTCCGCTTTTCATCATTACATCACAGACCCAAACACTAAGAACTATGTGCCCGCTGACTGGTCTGTGTTTTTGGATGAGTTCTTGCATGGAGGTATAAGTATTACAGTATATTGAAATACCTCCTACTCCATAAAAAAACAATGACTAACTTAGGGAAAACATGCGCGAATAGTGCGTGTAATGCGTAAAAAAATATTAATGATTGATCGATTGATTGTATGTTGTTTAACGTCCCATTCGAGAATTTTTCACTCATATAAGGACGTCACCGTATGCCGGTGAAAAGCTTCAAATTTAGACCTATACTCGGCACTCAGGGCCATTGAGCAGTGAGTTCTTTATCGTGCCAACGCCTATCGTGACAAGGGACCGCGGTTTTTAATGTCTCATCCGAACTACCCGTGACTTTCACTTCTAATGCCGGGCGCTTGGGGAAGGAACAGTCACTACCTATGTTTACGTCTTTGCTTTGACGCGGCGCGACGAACGAGAATCGAACCCGGGCTTCCCGATCACGAAGCTAGCGCTTTCCACTAGGCTACCGTGACCGGTAATTATTAACGAATGAGGCCTTTAGAGAGATGAAGGCACTGCACAGTATTCTACATTAAAAGGACCGACTCATTGTATATAACATGAAAAATATCCGATTGATCAATATAATTCTCTAAAGGACATAGCCTTGGACTTTGAAGTAAGTATCAACAAATTTAAATATATAACGGTAAAACATGATTTTTAAAATCTGGTGCGAATTTGGTATAAAGTTTAAATTTCGAGGGAAAACTTAGTGCGGAAGTCAATTTACAGCAATAAAAATTCTATTTCTTGGTAATAGATACGATCAGATTATCAACGTTTGTTTCAAGATGTTCACCAAAATATTAAGAATTTCATTTCCAAAATAAATAGTTAAATCCTAAAAAGAGGCAATTTTTATCATTTACTTTATTATGTTGAATAAGTAGTGGTCATGATTATTTTATTATAAATTCGCAAAAAAATCCATTAATTTATCCTTAAATCTGCATGGTTTGTGTGCTATTTAAAACAAAAATGTTACGGAAGTTAATTTATTTGGTATAAGATCCATGCATTTCTTTGCGAAAAGATGTGTTTTCTTTTCATATAGAAAAAAACTATTCTATATATATCCCATGCAATTAACTCGGAACTCATATGCAAATGAAAACCTCGTCTTGATATATAAAAATGTGTGAAGTGACATTGAGATTCGCAATGGAGTTTTTTTAAACACTTTATTATGTATGTACATGTATATGTCAAAACTCAAATACAGTTTTCGTTAAATAGATGAAATCACGTACATGTATGTTTGCTTAGTTTTATGAAATTGAGCTTTTATCAAAAATAATATTACGATTACAACGGTAAAATTGTTAGAGACATGGAAAAAAAATTTATATTTAGTAATTTTGAGGAGTTAATGCGCATCACAGCGGATGGGGTCTGTAGTGTTGTGTTTTATTGATGACAACATTGATCCATCGCCTTATCCCCATCTTAATTTGAAAGTCTTATTCCATCATAATTTACATATAGATTGTTTCATTTCTTCGGTATGATGATGATCCCAGCTGAATTTGTACAGCTTGCTGTAGCCATGTAAAATTAGATATAAAACGTGCATTTATTCAGAAGATGAGCAGGATGTAATTATTCTTTTAGAATCAGATTTCTCTTTTTTATTCTTTCTTTTAAATTTATCAAGAATATTTTTATGGAAGCTGGTTCGAAAGAGAAAAAGAGTGGGAAGAGGCAGCACTGCAACAACCAGAGAATATTTTAGTTCTTTACTATGAAGATCTGAAAAGGGTATGTTTGGTAATTATTAATAAATATTATTAAATAAAGCAGAGCAAACTTTGATGGTACATTAAGGTGAGGTGTTGTATATATATATTTAAACGTTTAATTAAGAATGGCCTAGAAACGTTGACTCGCATCTCTAGTTTTCTTGGACTGTCATCCGATCCTACTTTCCTACAAGCTGTTTATGATGAATGTTCCTTTGACGAAGTGCAGAAGCGGAGGAAGGGCACGGATGATGAATTTATTTTCAGAAAAGGTAGGATTTACAATGTATTATTCATTTGGTATATCAATTAATTTTTTAACTTTACGCAAGTCAGGTCTTTGCAGAAGATTGGAGCCAACAAAGATAGGGGTTTATAGACGGCATGGAGTCTAGGTTTCTATGAGTTTTCGAATGTCTATTATCTAATGCCAAATGTAAAGTAACAGTCGTTCCCCAATATAAACTGTAAGGGTTTGACCCAGAAACCTTCTGTATAAGACATGTGCTCTCCCCACGCATTGTGGCAACGTAAATAGATTTTTATATTTCCTTTATTGAATGCTATATATATACGGGATACAATGGTTCCAACCTAGCTGAATAGATACATAACTCACGTAAAAGAGTAATGCAGGAACACTTCTCTAACAATGGGGATCTGACCTCTAGGATTGGTTTTAGTCTTTACAAAAAGTTTGTCGATTTTCGTTACGGTCAATTACTTTAGTTTTCATACATGTACTAGTTCGTCTCTCATAAATCATTTTATTTCAGTATATAGAGATAGGAGGAACCTTTTCATAGATATTAATTATGAAGCATTGAGTTTGTTATCTTGAAATATTATTTCATATTTTTCTTTACTTTTGTGCATAATTGTAATGTCTATAGTCTGAAATCTTTTCTTATTGTGTGTTTCTTTTACAACACATTTTTGTGGATATCTTTTTTTTTCAAAAAAAAATCCCATTTATGTATACAAATTATATAAATGATATCCAAGGGAGTGGGGCCGTCACGGTAGCTCAGTCGGTAAATCGTTCGCTCCGTGATCGGAAGGTCGTGTGTTTGAATCACGGCTGCGACTGACTTAAGTCGATAAAAAAGTAGGTAGCAACTGTTCCTTCAATGGTTTCAGCGGTTTCAGATGATGCAATTTCAGCTAAAAAAATGACCAGGTTAATATTTTTGGAGCAGGTTGGATTTTTTGAGCAGCTCTCATTTCCAGTAACTCAGTAACTATAAGACCTGCAATGAACTTGCATATTGAGGATGGACACTACCAGGCTTGCTTGGATGCTTGATCTGACCTACATTTTCAGGATGACCCCTACCCGGCACTTAGGGCCATTGAGCAGTGAGGGTTCTTTTTCGTGCCTACGGCTACCGTGACATGTTGCCTCGGTTTTAAGGTCTCAACCGAAGTACCCAGAACTTTCACTTCAAAGTGCCGAGCGCTTGGCGAAGGAACGGTTGCTACCTATTTTTTATCGACTAAGGTCAGTCGCGGTCGTGATTCCTTCGACTAAGCTACCGTGACGGCTTTCAGGATGAGTGCCCAGGTTTAATTTTTGGAGCAGGTTCATTCTAAAGTAACTATAAGCCCTATGTTGACCAAACTTGCAACGATGATACATCTAAAGATGCTAACTACAAGACTCGCTTCAGATGCTAGATTTGAGCTACATTTTGCGGATGAATGACCAGCTTAATTTTTTTGAAGTAGGTTCATTCTAACGTAACTATAAGCCCTATGATGGCCAAACTTGTATGGATGAAACATCTAAGAATGCACACTACTGGACTTGCTTTGGATGCTGCTTTTGACCTTAATTTAATTTCTGGATGAGTAACCATGTTAAAGTTTTTGGAGCAGGTCTATTCCAAGAAACTAAAAGATGAACCAAACTTGCATGGATGATGCATCTAAGGATGCACACTAACACACTACTGGACTTGCTTCAAATACTGGATTTGACCTACATTTTCAAGATGAGTGACCAGGTTAAAGGTTTTGGAACAGGCCTATTCCAAGAAACTAAAAGTTGAACCAAACTTGCATGGATGACGCATCAAAGGATGCACACTAACACACTACTGGACTTGCTTCAAATGCTGGATTTGACTTACATTTTCCAGATGAGTGACCAGGTTAAAGGTTTTGAAGTAGACTCATTCCAGTGAAGCAGACTCATTCCAATGTAACTCCAAGTTCTATTGAACATTTTCGGAATCTCAGACACCTGACATCGCACTACGGACAGCGGACTTGCGAACAAAAGACAATTTACGGGGAGCGTATACAAATACGTTTTAACATTTACTTGAGTTTTTCTTTCATTATCTCTGACATCTATTAAAACGAATAAATTGAAATCAATTAAATAGGTCAGAATTGTAAAGATTGGTAGAGATTAAAAATAGTTCGTTCTTAGCACATTTTTCAAACAATTAAACTACCACATTAATAGATCATAATTAATGATGTGTATCTTTACATCATATGCAATGGCGGATTCAGATGGGTAACGGGAAATACAACCCCCTCCCTTTGATTTTGGAAGAAATAAAAAATAATAAATGAGGATTGTTAAGAAAAAAATATGTAAGAAGGGGTAAAAAAGAGAGTTTTGATTGTATACATGTTATTGGAATTTAAAGATGCAACTGGCAATAATTAAATTTGATATTTGATTCATCTTCTTCAGGACAATAAAGTCATTCAAAATTTTCGATATCTCTCGATTGCACACGAAATAGGAAACCGATTTTTTATTTCAACACATTAACCACATCAGCTCGGTTAAGATAATATGGAAACTAATGATTTTATTAACAACAAATCGGATATGAAAAAGAAAATTTTGAAAAAAAAAAGTAACAATGAGGAATTAGAATTTGCAAAGTTTGATTTGAAAAATCCAAAAGTACATTGCTAATCTGACTTTATTGAGTGATTTTAAGAACTCAAAATTTAATGAAAGTAAACAATTAAAAATGATTCCCTCTCTATTTTTAAAACAAAAATACTTGATAGAGATAACACATGTACCTGCAAGAATTCTGAATTATGTTTAGCACATTAATATAATTAAGCCATTTCTTGGTTGAATATGAATTCGTGTATATATATATATATATATATATATATATATATATATATATATATATATATATATATATATATATATATATATATATATATATATATATACACATTTATATGGAATTTAAAAGTTTCATGTTATTACCTCGATAATTCAAATTGTATTTTTATCATGGCCATGATGTAATTACAAATTCTTTAGTAAAATACATCGATGCAATAATATTTACACGTTTACATTAAAAAGCCTGTCTTTCAAGATCCAAGAACAAAAAAACTTCCTGGACCCCCAGCAAGGCGTCAAATTCAAATATTACCTGTACCCAGTGGAATTCTCAAGCAGTTGGCCTCAGTTCCCACACAGGTATCCTGATTAATTTACATCACACTTTGCGCAGCTATTCCAACAAGAATGTAATTGTTCTGTATTTTTATTTTTTTAGGGGTAACATGTTTATGAATTAAAGTTTTAAATCAGTAGTTATATGTTAAAGCCCAGTGCTTGTGCCCCCTTTACAATATCTGGATCTGCGCCTGATATGTGGAGTTCGGAATAAGCTGTATATGATATGTTATTTACGTCCAAGACACCGATAACGTAGAAAGACAGTTCAGCTGTCATTTTATTGAGTATTACCCATAAAAAATACTTTAAAAATTATAAATAAGAGCTTCTTTATGCAATCTTTTATGAAGTCCATTATGAATGGAAAGTGAGGTGGTTATATATTCCTTAGCGATTTTTTTTATATTTGCATATAAAAAGTAGTGTGTGATTCATTGATTACTTAATTTATGCGTATCAATCCAGATTCTGAGATTGTAACTTTTTTTTTAACATACAAATCTCTGCTGAAAAAGGGACTCGGTAAGTAATATCTAAGCATACGGAGCTCTATTTGAGAAAGATATTAATAAAGAGGGAAGAACTGCATGTGTACTTAAAAAAAGCAGGCTTCATATTTTAGCGGCTTTGGTGCAGACAAGGATGCGCTTATTCGTGAATACCGCTAAGAACTCATTTATAAATACAATATACAGCACGGACATTTATAGCACTAATTCATGATTTCGCCAACAGCTCTATACCCAGTGATTGCACTAAATTTTGAATATGCCAATTTATGTGCACGTACAGTATACGTTTACGTTCAAACTTAATTGATTGAAGTTCATTTTTAAATTCTGTAATTACGACGAATAATTATTGTTTAATGAGCTTTATTAATTCATACTTGTTCTCTAGACTAGTCCGTTTATGTTTACATTATTTAAGAGCATAAATTTACTACATGTATAAGTATTAATTAAAACAATACTTTAAATTCATTTTGTATTCACATATAGTATGGTTAATATTGAATGGCAAATTGCAAGTTGTTCAGTGAAGACTAGAAAATGCACCTCTAATCGGCCGTTACATTAAACTGAAAGAGTACATTCGTAATGTAAGATCGGTTTCTCAAGATGTATTATATAGGATTTAACAAGAACACTCTTCTTTACCCCATACTCTAGATCTTTTGTTTTTCTTTCACTTTTCCCTCTTCTTTTCTACGCTCTACGTTTTTTTCAAACCCCAATTCACTACAGGTACTTATCATATTTATTTTAAAGAGGAGGTTGGGGTATAACTAACAAGAAAAAAAAACCTTGAGAATTTTGACAAGCCCCCAAAAAGCATAATACTCGTATTAATCATCATAAATAAGTTTCACAGAACTCAGAATTCATAATTCGTTGGGCCGGGAAGGGGTTCCAATATCATATATTCGGCAATTATTTTAGGCACAAGGACGTGGAAGTGTTACATGTATACATGTATTTATACCCCCCCCCCCCCAAAAAAAAAAGTTAAGGGGGCGTTGGTGAAACAGGCCTCCAAATCAAAATTTAATACAAAAAATTAGGTTCCAACTTTTTCAAAACCAAATTTCATAAATTCATTTCCCTAATTTGACTACACTGCAAAAAAAAAGGGGGGGTGGCATTTTCAACAGAAAAAGATTATGCTATGTTTGAAAAAAAAAGGCCGCGGGAGTGGGCTAGCATCCTAATATTACTTGCCTGTCATCGCAGTCATTAAAATAAATGTATTTAAATGTGATGAATTTGTCACGCAGGTGCTGAAATCGTACCTGTTTTCTTTAGAATCTCCCAATGGGGGATGCTTGCAAATTTATGTAAAATCGGACTGTGCTCTGATCGATATGGTTATACATGTACTTTTTGCATTCTCAAGTTTATATGATTATGAATGTGAAATTATGTTTTGGCGTACCATTTTTTACGTCAAGCATTGTATTGTAAATAATAATAATAAAAACACACTCCCCCCCAAAACAACATGCATTTGTCTGCCGTGGAGGAGCAAGGATAATTAGTTTAAACTATGCCTACTGATTAAGTGAATTGAAATTTATATAATTTAAAAAAATTAAAGCGCCATTTTTTTTTCAAAGCGATTTTCTCCTAGAGATTTTTTTTTTTGATTTGTGTCAGTGCGATATGCGGACCATGGGACATACAATCTTGCCAAAATATTCCCTATCAAAAATAAATCTCAGAAAATCCCAGAACAGATACACTTTACATATGATAATAGAGTGAAATACTGAAACATTTCGTTATACGTAAAACAAAAAAAAAAAACAAACAAACAAAAAAAAAACAAAACAAAAAGAAAAGGAAAGAAAGAAAGAAACGATAATGCACGCGCGTTTGTAAGGAAAGATAAGGATAAGGACATGTACATTTTTTTTTTAGCATTTTTACAAAAAATTATAAATATTGACAATTATTAATACAATTTCCCTTCTCAGCAGAAATGCATTCTTAAGTACGTGTACATTAGATCCATGCTAAATCAAGCACACCCCGTTAATTGTTTTGTTTATGAAAAAATACGGAAAAGAAGACTTTTCTTTAAGCCTTGTACAATATAAAGATAACAAAGCTTATTCGTAAGGTTGTGTCCCTAAATAATAAAGAATACTGAGGTGTAGCAACTTTTTATGCTTATCATGATCAATGAATTTCTGTTCGTTGTTTCCTTTTAACCACCTCCCCCCCCCCCCCCCCCCGTGGTGTATTTGTTTCTTACGAGCCTGTATTACATTAACTCCACCTCTTCTTGAATATCTCTCTCAAAACTTATTTAATTCTATTTTTCCAGCAGTGACTAGGGATTAAATACTACTATCAGAGAATAATCCGGATTGATAGGTAAAAAAATCAGTAATCAATGAATCATGCACAACTTTTCATCATGACAGACTGAAAAGTGCAAATTTGCTACAGAATTAAATAATTACCTATAAGTATTCTATTTCTTTATTTAAGATACTAATTGTGCAGGAAATATTCGATAAAAGGACGACTGGACTGTCTGTCCCCTTTTATGAACCCCGTTAAACGTCGGCGATGTGTATTACCGCTGACCGACTTTAGCGTGGGAGAGAAGCAATCTCGGTTACTTCCTTTGATGTGGTGACAATGTGACGTAGTATTTAAAATTCTTGACAAGCAAAGCATCAGAACGTCACGAACAATGAAATCCCTATGCATATATGCAATCAGCTCTATTTAAAGATGATGCGCTCATTAACGTGCCTATATCAAGATGCAATTCCTTTACATTTTCTTAGTTCTTGGAGATTTCTGCTTTTTATTTGTTGTTGGGAAAATGGTGCAACTGGAATTAAACAATCTCTTGGGAAAGGGGGCAAATCATTATTTTAGGAAAAGTTGGGGGAGACACCCCCCCCCCTTTCAATACCACGTGCGTGTGCACACTTGTACAATATTGAGTAGTGTTAATCATACAAATAATAACAAAATGTGATTATCGAGTGTAAGTAATCAAGACTACAAAAATTATTTATATTATTCACTTTCTGACACTTTCCCTTACGTGAAAAGTCCGCTGTCTGAAGTCAACTGTCGGGTGTCTGAGATTCCGAAAATGTTCATTAGTCCTATCATATAGGGATGCACACTATTAGATTATTAGTTTAGTGTGGGACTTTCCCTTACTTAAATATAGCATTCGTTGAGATGAACTCTGTAATCTTTGAAAACTTTGTTTAGAATTTTTTTCCAATGCAAAATTTGAAACTAGAGGTGTAAATTACAAATGTAGTTGTAAAGAAACCTGACCCAGCTTTGTTTTTGTTTGAAAAAGTAGAAATTAAAATATAATGATATTTACGAGGTCTGATCTTTATTGTATACATGATATTCATTGTATACATGCATAATAAGTTTGAAATCTTTTCATATATTTTTTTTTTACTTTTCACAGGTTCAGTGGGTGATTGGAAATCACTTTTTACTGTCGATCAAAGAGAGAAATTTGATCTCATATTCGAGGAAAACATGAAAGATTCTAAGTTAAAAATACAGTTAAGTTAATTTTTAGAAATTATAAGCAATACCAATATTATATTCCAGAGTGGATGAACTGTCATACGAATTTTTAAAAAATGAAAACGTCGTCAAAACATTGCATAAAACGTTTGATTTATGCTTTAATACTGGAATTGTACCATATACGAGGGGTAAATAAAAAGTTCGAAGACTAGCGTCATAAAAGTAAAACCGATTTAGGTTCATCAATGAATTTTAACACATTTAGTAAGCATCATCTTTTCTGTCTATGGAATAAACCATAAATCATATGTTTTATTTTTTTAATAAATTGTCAATATTTTTGTAAGCAATGGTATGTATGTCCAGGAGGCGCAACCTCATATATGACGTTTTTTTCTACCTGAGTGTAACTGAGAAAAAACTATTTTGATATGAGCAACTGTCATCAGAAAAATCTGGTTTATTCAGGCATGTGGTACGACAAAATTGTTCCGTAAATTTAATTGCAATTGTTACCCCATTCTGTAAAATCTATGAAATTTTATCGTAATTTTTTATGGAGTTCCAAACAACTACGGGCTTGAAAATGACGTCAAAAGGAGGAAGGGTCTCTTTCAACATTCTATTAAGCTTCGCGCCTGGAAAAACTGATAAACCTATGTTTACCTGATTACCTATGTTTAGATATTTTTTTATGCAAAATTTGAAACTAGAGGTGTAAATTACATAATTATGTATTTGTGAAGAAACCTGACCCAGCTTTGTTTTTGTTTGAAAAAGTAAAAATCAAAATATAAAGATATCTACGAGGTCTGGTATTTATTGTTTACATGATATTTATTGTATACATGCATAATAAGTTTGAAATCTTTTCATGAAATATGTGGAGATAACGAACAGTATTCGAGCTCAAATGTCCATTGAACATTACAAAATAGGAGCGGAGCAAAAATGGACCTCTGAAACATCAGAGTTGGGATCAGGTGCCATGGAGGAGTGCGCATCCCCTGCCGACCGGTCACAACCGCCGTGTGCTCCTTGTCGATGAGCGGGAAATAACGGAAAATCCGTCGACAATTCAGTGTGTAAATAATGACCTAACAATTGGTATGAAAAAAAAGTCAGACAGCATTTGACTTAATGAAAGATTGTATTTGCTGACAAGGTCATTGTATCGACCATAGAACTTACGAAATGATGACTTTAAACGAGACTACTGATATTCTTGATTCATCAATTTGTTTGTCAATAACTTACCTCGTTTTAGAAATTGTTCATACGTAGAGCATGATCTGGCGTATCGAATCAACTGAGAGATATAAACCCCGTATGCAGGTGATAATATATGTCTTTTTTTCTTTTCACAGGTACAGTGGGTGATTGGAAATAACTTTTTAATGTCGATCAAAGAGAGAAATTTGATCTCAAATTCGAAGAGAACATGAAAGATTCTAAGTTAAAAATACAGTTAAGTTAATTTTTTTAGAAAATATAAGTATTATCAATATTATATTCCAGAGTGGATGAACTGTCATACGAATTTTTGAAAAATGATTGATTGATTGATTGATTGCATGTTGTTTAAAGTCCCTCTCGAGAATTTTTCACTCATATGGAGACGCCACCACTTGCCGGTGGAGAGCTGCAAATTTTGTCCTATATTCGGCACTTACGGCCATTGAGAATTGAGGGATCTTTTCCGTGCCAGCACCTACTGCGACACGAGACCTCAGTTTATACGGTCTCATCCGAAGGACCGGTCTCCACGTCCCACAGTGGGATTCGAACCCGCGACGTAAGGATTAACTCCTTACTTCGCAACTCTAGAGCAGACGCTCTAACCACTGCGCCACGCGAGCGACTTTGAAAAATGAAAACATCGTCAAAAACATTGCATAAAATGTTTGATTTCTGCTTTGATGCTGGAATTGTACCATATACTTGGTGTAAAGCTAGTATATGCCCAATTATAATTCTTTCAAATCAGGGTGGAAGCAGTGTGGCAACGCAATTTGAAAAAATTACGCACTTTGAATTTTTTTTTCAAAGAGCGTTAAAATTGGGACAAAATCAATGCACTTTGAAAAAAATTTTCAAAGTGTGTTAAATTTGGGAAAAAATCAACGCACTTCAATTTTTTTTTCAAAGTGCGTTAAGAGTGTACATCAACAATTTTTACCATGGAGACACCTAACGCACTTTGAAAAAATACGTATAAAACAAATTAGATTTTTAGTAATAGACAGCATTAATTTGTTACATTTCTTCCGAAAAACTGATGAAATGATCTACCCTCATCGAGAACGAGGAAAAGACAGGTAGAAAGTCCCTCAGCCAACTCCCAATCTTTCCCACACAAATATATGTATTTACATAACTGGTATGACATTGGTATTATTTCTCTCAATAGATTTTAGCTAACGTAAAATAGATATAAAAAATTTAGATTAGTTTTCCTGAAAAAAAAACACGCAACCTATTATATTAAAGAAGAGAGCCCCATAACCTTTATTCAAAATGTATCCACAATGATTCCTCAGAAAATAGGCATTTGCATGGTAATTAAAACATGCTAATTGACATGTCTAGCGTTTTTATGATATCAAATTACAGATTTAGAAGTAATCTGACTGCATAACTTTTTTGAGAAAAAGTCATTAGTGAACGAGGTAAAAATTTCAGTCGAGTGAGTAATGTGGCTAAGGTTTATTTTCTTACTATCAAATACATAAGGCAACCATTGTTTCATATATGTTCACAATAGATAGATAGATGAATATGATAGAAAGATAGATGAGAGAGAGAGAGAATTTTCTTGGTACGGAAAAATCATAATTGCTCCCTTTTCCCTAAGAAAAATACGATGCTTTAAGTCACTTATCGACAAGTCTACATCTAACAAACTATTAGAGACTGGATAAAATTTAAAAAAAAAAAAAAAAAGAAAGAAAGAAAAAGAAACGAAACTGTGATTAAACAATCATTCCTCCACTGTTTCTGAAAGACCCATTTCCCTTTTATAACAGTTACGAGAACCTTTGGAAAGAAGTCTTTAAAACGTCTATATCTCAGATTCTGATGTCATCACCGAAAAGTTATCCAACCAGGCTCAAATAATTATTTATCATACCTAAAATTTTCAAGAATATTGACCAAGCCGTGCACATTTTTTTTTTCAAAGTGCATAAATATGGTCGATATTAACGCACTTTGAAAAGAAATATTTATTTTTCAAATTGAGTTAGCGTGGTCCCAAAATTAACGCACTTTGAAATTTTTTTTCATATTGCGTAATTTTTCAAAGTGCGTTGTAACAAAGCAGTCTTTTATCCGTGTAGTTAAATCTACGATTCAGTTTCGAGAGATGATGGGAAGCAGAATATCATAACTTAAAATACTTATTAGTGAGGGATTGTACCTCCTTTAAATCTCATTTTCTGAAGGAACTAAATAAGGAAGAATAAAAATCCAGGAGGAAAACTTGGCAGGAGTTGGTCTGGGTGGGAAGGGAGGGGGTTAGGGATACAGTGGTTGTCGTTCCCTTCCTAAACAGTGCTGTGAAATGGTCCATTATTATCGTTAAATTAACTGTTAACCTAAATATTTATATCGCAAAAGAGCTTCCGTATATTGTCCTAGTGTAATCGTAAGCCGTCGATTGAAAAAGTCAGTGCTTCTCACAAAAGTCCACCAGAAACCACCGTCTGTCGAAGAAAGTTTTTCTTTGGGACCGGGATCAGAATAACCTAACAAACTGCACTTCAAAAATTAAACAATTATTTGATTCTCTGATGCATGATGTATAATGCATATCTACTCAAACCTTCCAAGATGCAGTTTGGAATTAGCCGAAAGTCTTCTTATGTCAGAAACTTGAAACACAATGGCTTGAAGACTTACAAATTGTTTCCAAACTCCGAACTTATAGTCTCCTCAAAGCTGGAGCAGTACGTCAATATTTACCTAGATCTATACGATCAGTGATGGAAATTTGGGGTGTACTATCGCTTTGAATTGAAACTGGACGCTATAGATAGAATTTGGAATTTTGCAACAAAAACGAAATTGAAAACGAAATACATTTTTTTCTACATTGTAAATAATAAAATGAACTTCTTATAGACAAAATTGGATTTAATAATTCATAAAATTTATCATGAGATAATACATTCTTTTCACATATTTTATGTAAATTTCCTAGTCAAACTACTACTTTTCTATTTGATGCTTTGAAAAACCCTTTAGAACTTCACAAAAAGGGTATTATAATATCAATTATTCTTCATTACTTTACTTTATATACTGCCGAAATATTAATTGTGACAAATAGGTTCTTTGGGTCGATGTAAAAAATTACTTTATTGCTTTAAATACATTGTATAATTGTATACGTATCAATACCTGTATCACTGTAATAAATTATTTACTTGCTTATTTACTTATTAACCCCTTTGGTCGTTCCGATTTTTAACTTAGATAAAAAATTGTGTTAAACATTCACATCATGTATTTGTATGCTTGGTATTGAAATTGCAAGAAGACGGCGTTCATTACAGCAAATTTAATCAAAGTATTGAGTGGTTTCAACAGAAAAGCCATGACATGTCTTCTTAACCTAGAAACAATTATAATTCTGTCATCATATCAAATGTCATGTACATTAACTAGTTTTTGGTATAGATACACTGTATTGTTAAGAAGGACAATAAATTCTCAATGAATATTTTCAATTTTCGATGACACCCCCCCCCCCCTAAATGCAATTAATTTTTTTAATTTATTTTTATGTATGCTTACACGTATTTTTTTTATTTGAGACTGTATGTATAGAGACTGCAACTGTATTGTTTTACTATTGTATTACTTGCAGAATCCATTTATTGCAAACCGTTTCCATGCATAACACAAATGTAAAACGTGTAATGTACATTTGTACAAATGCTTTTTCTATAGTTTCGTCATCAAAATTAGTTTGAATAAATCATGTTAATCGTTAACTACATGTATACGAGATTTCAAAGTAATATTTAAATGAAATGAAATGAACATGTAACAGACACATCTATGCTTTTAAGAAAAATCCTACTTGACTCTCTTTATGTATTATATAGAATCTGCGACTTTCAATAAATTGTTCATGTGAAATCATGCGTAATATGATACAGGAAATATAATATCTCTACATAATTGTATAATTGTCTGGTACTTTTGTAAATTCTGTAGCACGGATAAATGTACCTCATGTCAATTTAACGTGAACAACAAGTACCATGTTCTATGCTTATCAAATTGGAATAAAAGAAAACTGTATTATATCTAACCAAAGAAGCTGAAGGAATATAATAATTAATCATTTTTATTATGTGATTATTATCTTATAGATTTCAATAACTAAATTTATGATGTATTAGTGTCCAACGTTTGCTGATTATAAATAAAAGAGAAAAAAAGAAAAGTGTATTATAAATATTATGTGTTATTGTGGCGACATTGCTACAGTGCTGCTAGCACATCTCCTTCAGAATAATCAAAATGGAACAACAGAATTAAATTATATTTTATTCTATACATCAAAACCAATATTGTGTGCATCTTATATACCGTAAGGCTGAACAAACACGCTCTTCTTACTTTATTGTTTGCTTTTGATCATCCAGCTACCCGAGGTAAACATGCATTTGACCCTTGTAGAGTTTTCCACTCAAAACCTACTGATAGAATAATGTTTTATGCCCATAGCGATTTCATATTAATTGTTCAAATTATATATATATATATATATATATATAGAGAGAGAGAGAGAGAGAGAGAGAGAGAGAGAGAGAGAGAGAGAGAGAGAGAGAGACCTTATATAATGTATTATTATGCAAAAAAGAGTTATCGCACTTTCCATGACATGCAATTGTTTTTCCCCCTAATTTCTTAATATTTCATATATTCTGAGAAAAAAAATAATTGGCACAAATACAAAAAAGATCAAGCATTGGGCCTGAGCAGAAACTGGTCCAGTTCAAATAGAATTTAAAACGAATATCATGCACACAAGCATGCTGGTTGTTTTACATATTCATTGGAAGGATATTGCGTGTGGTTATATGATTAATATTCACGTTAATGCGTGATATTTTAATTTGTTGAAATCAAAAAGGATTTTTTCGTGAGAGTTATTCTACAAGTTTGCACACATACTTCAGTCATATTTTGAATTCCAATAACAGCATATGCATAATCCGCAATAATTGCATAATCCACAAGTAAATGGACAATTAATAGCTTGAAAATATGAAACAGGTCATATCTGTCAATATTACCTAAGTAAAGTACTTTATTTGTTTGTGTGTGTGGTCTTTTTTTTTTTTTTTTTCTTTTTTTTTTTCTTTTTTTTTTCTTTTTTTTTTTCTTTTTTTTTTCTTGTGAATAATTATAATTATTTTATTTGTTATTGTTTGTTATTGTTTTTTTTGTACAATTAGATATCTGAATACCTATAATTAACTTTTAATTTTGATTAACTTCTAAGGAAAACGATGTAAAAGAAATCAAGATAATATAAATTATGAAATTCTCCAATATTGTTTTCATTAAGTACGTATATTTTAATTACCATCAAGTTAATGAAACATTCATTGTAAACACGGTCACAAAAACTGTTTAATCGATGTACACTAGGTAGTGAATAAGGAAGACAGAGATGATACTTTCATGTGCAGAGCGCATTGGTGAGACCTATGTGGGGCATGTGTAGAGAAATGTCACTGCAAACAGGCTAGAGCACTGACCTTCAAAACTTGGTCGGCAATATTAAGAAAGTATGTTCAACAAAGTGACTTTTTGCGTTAACATCCCGAGGCATTCTGTTGTAATTAATGCCACTTTTTCTTTAATTAAAAGATACTGGACCTATGTTGTTTTTAATGTTTAATTTAGAATGCTATGGAGACGATGCGACAAATATCCAATTTTCTTGGATCCTCGTCTGATCCTAAATTTCTTCTGTCTGTTTATGATGAATATACCTTTGCAAAAGTAAAAGAAAGAGAAAAGGATACAATGTGGAAAATTATCTATAGAAAAGATGAAAACTATTGTGCTCTAATTCGTAAATGAATTTCAGATATGAATCCAAATGATATATATACCCATCTGAAGAAACAATTACATTTTTTATATTACACAATCTGTATTTTTCTTTT